CTAGCTGCTCTTCAAACAGAAGCATTATTACATTTAATACCCAAAGTCTTTTAAATGGAAACAAAAATCAAATTATGTATGCTATAAAGAACAGAGAATATACAAAGTACCATGAAATCCCAACAGCATCGCAAAACTAATGTTACAGTATAGGAGGTTAACATTTGGTTATACAAATACTTTAAAAGATGTTTTAGGAAAGCTCCACAGAAAATACAATTTTCAGACTCCCACCATGAACTGTGAAACCTTTCAGGACTTTTTGGAGTGCAGAATTTCTGAAGACCACTTAGAAATTTCTTTCTAGAAAATCCAGTTTGTTTATTTTTTGTCTTCAAGGGTTTTTTTAAATTTTTTTTTTCTCTTTTTTCTTTTCTTCAGACCACGTTGCCAGAACATCTGAAGAATGCAGCTGTACAAGATGCCCCAGGAGTGTCTGACCATGTGCACAGATTGTCACTGTGCATGGGGGTTCCTATTTTCAACTAGAAACAGGGCTCCCAGAGCAGAAAGGCACCTTGGCACCTCCTCGACATTCCCCTGCACCCCACCTCTCAACCTCAGCCCCTGACCTTGGCATGGTCATTCTCTCTCTACTTCTGGTTGGACAAAATCAGACATGCTGGTTTTTTTTCCTTTAATTTAAAATAATTACTATTAAACTGAAGGCCTTCTGACGTGAGAGGTGATCCATGCCCTGGGGCCTCCTGAGGAAGAACGTGGGGTGGTCTCTCTTGCTGCCTCCACAAGAGCTGCACGAGCAGCAGTGTGTGAATTTCCAGTTTGCTCCCCTGCTCCTCATGCTCCAGCATCCAATAAAACCAGTGCTGCTGAATGTCACGTTACACAGTGCTTACATCAGGTACACAAGAGACACAGAGCTAAAGAAGGTGGGTTTGCACAAAAGCCACTATACGTTCCAGGAGCCACAAATTGGGGGGCAAACTCATAACATTGCTGAGGAATGCAAACGAAGAAGTCACCTTTTTACAAAAGTTATAAAAAAGAAGCTCTTAAAATGTATCAAACCAGTCTTACAGGTACAGATACAGAGGTCTGTGAAGGTAACACATAAATGCACACGTGCTGAACTGTATTTGTCATCCATATGGGACACTGATATTGGACATCTAATTTTCCCAGTTTTGTTTCATGTTGTATTGTTTGTGATCTGTCTCATTTACCTGCTTTTTATCAACTGCCTTGTAACTTGGGGATCTAACCTTTAAAAGGAATGAGCAAGTAAGCTTTACAATATTGTTACTGAAGCATGCTGATTTCTCTAGGAAGCAAATACTTTTGTTCAGCATACTCAGATGAGAGCTCTTTGAAACCTCTGAGGCTCAAAACGCCAACAGAGAAGCCCCCTGTAAAGAGAGACTCAAGTTCTCCTGAACAAAGTTCTCTTGGATGAGGGTTGAAACCATTCTGGCCAAACATCACCCCAGTTATTCATAGCACCAATTCACCCAAGGCCTGTCAGGACTGTTTGGGGAAAGTCCATCTGCACATCAACCTCACTGTAACTACAATGATGAGCTGCAGCAAGAGCAGCAGTGGTGGGACACGGAGCTCCTGGTGAGGACACACTCCTCACCGTGCTCTTGTGCAGAGTCACAGAACAGGCTGGGTTGGAAGTGACCTTTTAGAGGTCATGTTGCATACCTGCTGTTGGCAAATTTTGGGGAAAGGAATATTTTGGTCCAACCCGCTGTCATGTTCTTATGGCTACTGCTGTGCAATGTACTTGGCAGGTAAATGGGGGAAAGACCTAATTCTAAAGTGGTGTGATTTCTTTGTGTCAGAGGTAACACGTTGCTTCAGCAAACCTTTTCTTTTTGCTTACCTATTTTTTAAATTTGCATTTTATAAAATGGCACTTAAAATAATTTATATGTAGAACATGTGGAGCATAAGAACCACAAAAGTGTTATACAAGCAGTGCAGACCAGAATTGGTAATATTAATACAAAATAACCAGTAACTCCTTGATAACTGTCATTTCTGTATATTCCCCAACAAGTATATAATTTGTCACCACCAACAAAAAAAAGGATTTTAGTATGAAAGAGCAAACTGGAATGTTTCCCTCATAAAGAGTGTATGCATCCATCAGAGCTTTCACTTATTACAGGCTCCTCAATCTGATCAGATCACTTTTCCCTTTTGCAGTATTCCACACTTTTTGCTACCTCCACATCAGTTTCTTTGGACACAGCCAGAAGTTTGGCTCAACACACAACGCAAGTTAAACCATTTTTTTTTTAACAACATTTTTTTGCATAGCAAGTCTTTTTGAGCACAAATCACTGATTATAGCATCATCAAGGCAAAATTTCACCTGTTTCATGGCACTGGTAGAAGTTTCTCATGAGGTAGCTATGGGAACAATTTGGTTGTGCAAGCTACAGTTGGGAAAAAAGGCAAAATAAGACAAAGAATAAAATAAAGAATGGACCCAGATAGTTGGGATAAGCATCTGTACAGGTGTATGTAGATAGAGAGAGATGTGCATAGATATATAAATATACCTTCCCCTCCTCAGCGTTTTGTTGACATGAATTGTGAACCTCCTCTTCTCTTACTAGTTTCCCAGGCCATGAAGTCAGTCCTTTGATCTGGCCCCAGACCAAGTCGCCCACGTTAAACGTCCTCGGCCTGTAATGGATCAGCTCGTTGGAAGAGGGGGACTCGGGGTTCCTCAGGTCATCCTCACTGCTGATGCTTTTAGCATCTGAAGGGCTAGGCACACACCCGTTAATGCTTTTGGCATTAAAATCTCCATTGTAATGGATGTAGTCTTTAACTAACGAGCTTTCCAAGCTGTTTGAGGAGCTTGGAGATTGCTCTTCCAGGATCAGGTCTTGTTTAGAAGTGTTCAGCAACTCCCCAAATCCTCGGTTCTGCTGAGGCCTGTTGCCGTTTATGTGTGCACATCGTTCCACAGTGTTCTCCAGTCTTTCCTTAAAACTCATCATAGTTCTTTTGTAATTATTATACCTGAAATTCTCCTCCAACATTTTATCACTTTGACAGTTTCGCTGTGCTAACAGGATCTGATGCTGCTCGCCTGGTAACAGTGGCAGTGTGGAGATGTTGTTGGGCCTTTCGTGACAAGGGCTACTATGGATGTGGGCAGAGTGCTCTAGAAACTCATCACATTTCCACCTATTTATCTCACCGACAGGACTTTGCTCCCCTTCCCACTGTTTTTTGGGGGTGTTACAACTCGTTGGTTTGTAATAATCATACCCATCCCCTTCACTGGAATTTTTAACGTGCTCCGAGTTCTTCAGTATCCGCGCTCCTCTCGCGTTCCTGATCCTCCCTTCGTGGTCGGCAACGTTCCTGCCGTGGATTACTGCACTGACAGCACTGGAGAGATTTAATGGGTCACCAATTGAGGCTGTGAAGGCACTCATGGCACTCAAAGCTGGGATGGGACTCATCTGTGTGGTACTGCTAACGGCAGTGGTGATCACTACCTGCATCCCCTTGCTCGCAGCATCTACCACTGCTTTGTAGATGGCGTCCACCGAGGCGTCCCCCTGAGCGGTGACAGGGAGGTTTTCCTTCGCCTGGGGTCCCAGAGGTGGTTCAGTCCTCTGCTGCAGATCACAAGATGTTTCTTGGAAAGGAGGAAGCAGAGCGTTGGAGCTCTCAGGAACCGGTGCCATTCCCATCTGAGTGATCATTCTTTTGTTCAGGGCAGCAGCGTCTTCCTGCATCCTCACCTGGAAAAAGCAGAGGGAAAGATGGAAATTGCTACTCTGCCTACAGTTCCATTTCAACAGACAAATTCTGTTGCCTTGAAATAAAAGCATCAGGATGGTGGCCAGAAGGACCACTTGTTACAGTCCATAATGGCATTTTGGTTATATGCAGTTCTGAAGTTTCCT